TGGACAATGAACAAAGAAGACCAAAGAAGAGTTGATGCTTTTGAGTTGTGGTGTTGGCAAAGAATACTGAAAATACCATGGGCTGCTAAAAGAACAAAAAATCTGTCCTTGGAAGAAGTGCAGACAGAATGCTCCTTGAAAGTGAGAATGGCCAGGCTTCATCTCACTTACTTTTGTTATGTTGTCAGAAGGGACCATTCCCTGGAGAAGGATATTTTGTTTAGTAAAGTGGAGGGTCAGCTAAAAAGGGGAAGGCCCTCAACAAGGTGGATTGACATAGTGGCTGCAATGATGAGCTCAGGTATAGCAAAGATTGTGAGGCTGGCACAGGACTGGGCAGTATTTTGTTCTGTTGTACATAGGGTCACTGTGAGTCAGAACCGACTTGATGGCACCTAACAACAACACAAGCTGAACAACTACACCAGGGAGATACACTCCTTAAAACAGTTAACCATGGGAGATCAGAAGGGCAGCATTTGCACAGGATAAAGCTATGGAAGCAGTAATGCATAGGTAAGAAGGACACAGAGAAGTGGTAATCACAGGAAGGAGGTGTGAGAAGAGCTGTTAAATTGGGAGGATTGCAATTAGTGCCATGAAACAAAATGTGCATGAATGTAAAATGAATCTTCTTTGTACAATTGCACCAAAATGGCAATAAATTTTTTTAAAAAAAACTTGCATCAGTTCTGGAGGAAAAAACAGGAAATATATATTAGGAGGGAGATGATTATCTGACTCTAGATATTGTTGCTTAATAAATTAAACTGAAATTAAATGACATGTTTTATTGTTGACAAAGAGGCTCATTTAGACATTTAATGGTCCTACCTAAGTTCATATTTACTTTTATCTGTTTTTATTAACTCATACTGAAATAAACTTTAGTCATAATGATTAAAAAAATAATTTATATTCACACCACTTCAAAATGTGTCTCTCAACAGGGACTCTGTTGGGTTTTACTTTCTGAAAATGACCTGTGAACATTTTAAGTCATCAGAAAATATTGGAAAAGCTCTACTGCTCCACCTTGACATGCTCTTGCAAAGGAAGGACGAACTCCTTGCCAAGGAGAAGATTGAAGAAATCATTGAAGGTCAGTAGGATTTCAGCAGGTGTTTCAGAAAGGTGTTAATCTGCTTAAAATTCTAAGAAACATGCAGAAAACTCACTGCCGTTGAGTCAATTCCAACTCACAGTGACCCCTTCTTGGGTTTTTGAGGTGGTATCTTTACGGAAGTAGATTGCCCACCCTTCCTTCTGAGGAGTGGCTGGTGGGTTTGAACTGCCAGCCTTCTGATTAGCAGCCAAATGCCTTAGGTACTATGGTACCACAGCTGCTAAGAAACATGTAGAGGAGTAGCAAAATCCTAAAGTCAAAAGACTTTCTTTTCCTACTTCCTATCTCTCCCTCTCTTTAGTGTCCTTTAACAGTAACATCTCACCTGTCCAGAATCTATAAGTTTGGCAACCTAGAATATGACACTAAGCAAAATAACAATGACAAAACAACTTCTTAACTTAAAGCGCAAGTATAGCAGAAATTTGTGAGGTTAGAAGCCTAATTTGGGCAAGTCAGAACTTCTGGACCTTGGTTTTTTCAACTGTAAAATTAAGGTAGTAAACGAAATTCATGGTTTTCAAACTCCTTTTTTTAGCAGCGTCATTCTTTTGTGATACAATCTTATATGAGCTTCACCCCAAATAATATAGATTGGAGTTATTCTGGTTAATGTAGACATGTAAAACCAAGTCTTCTCAGCATTCCACTACCCATCCAATTCTCTGGAGAACCCATATACCCTGAAGAACACATATAATATGATACCTTTCTTAAGAAATTCTCTCCCTCTCTTTATCTTCTAACTCTACACATGTATAGAAATACCTGGAATGATAGTTAACAATGAGGTTAGTTTGGGGTGGTGGCATATGAGGTGATTTGTTATTTTCTTCTCTGTACTTTACTATATGCTTGAATTTTTATAAATATGCATAATGCTTTTATGAAAACAAAGACATTGTTTTCAAAAGGGAAGTCATCTGACTAAATTATTTCTCAGAGGCTTTTCAACTCTAAATTCTTTTCTTTTTTTGATTTGGGTGAAGATTTACAGAGCAAATTCACTTTCCATACAGCAGTTCACATATACTTTGGCTCATGACATTGACCACAGTTTACCCCAATGCAACAGCTCCCCTCTCACTTCCTCCCCATAGCTACCATTTCCCAGTGTCCATCCCTCCATGGACTCCTGCCCACTGAGCTGTCTCCCTATGCATAAGCAGCCCTTCTTTCTCCCATGATTGTTCTCTCCAAGGAGTGTATCTACTTGAGGTAAATGTTCAATTAATATGACTGTCTTTTGTTTGGCTGGAAACCACAGGTGTGGGTTCAATTCCAGACCGGAAGGGCAGCTAGGGGCCATAGTCTCAGTGGTTCCACCAGGCTCTATC